CTCCTCCTCCTCCTTTATTCCTGTAGAGGAGGAGGAGGAGGAGGAGGAGGAGGAGCAGCAGCAGGACATTTAGCCCGATCATGGCACGCAGGCAGATGTATAAGACATAATACGGTATATCCATACAAGTTCATCATCCCTACTTCATGTACATGTGCACCGTGCGGCATGGAGTACCCCACGTACGAGACCCTCCGTAGTCATATATGCTCGCACCTGCCGTCGACGCAGGAGGGTGTATCCATATCAGTGGTCGAGCCGAGACCTCCACCTACTTAGCCGCGGCCCCCGCGGCCCAAGCCCCTTCCGAGAGCCACCTCGCAGCCAGCCGTGCCCCGACTTCGAGGAAGCGACATTCGAACAGCTTAAGGCCTGCTGGTGAAGACACGTACTCCTGCGGGGGCCTGTGATGCGGGCGTGGCGCCCAGCAGCGGCCTCCTCGGCTCCGTCAGCGAATGGTGGGACCGCCTCCAGAGACGAAGATCGGAATAAGCAGGTGGGCGAGGAGGGCGGCATCCAGAGGGGCGCTGCCAAGGAGGGGACGGGGAGCAAACCGCGAGTGCGAAGAGGAGGGCGTCGTCGTGCCGAAGCGAAGGAGCGCAAGCTCAGCACGAAGGACGCGGGCCTTAATGAGCTGGTCGTTCTACTATCGACGCAGGTGTCCCAGCTCACTCCGAAGTCGAGGGCGATGTAGGGAGCAGTCGCTCGTACGGTGCTGATCGAGACCTCGCACGCCGTGGTGGTAGCCATCCAGGAGGAGAACAGAGGTTCGCGGCCAGAGCAGCAGACCTACGTGCTCAGGGTGGCAAGCTCAAGGACCAAGCGAAGGCTGCGAGGGGTACCGACAAAGCAGCGGAGGAGAAGGCCAACAAGGAGGCGAACGACGTACCAGACGAATTGCGAGGATTGGGCCCACCGTACCCTGCAGCTTACGCAGCGATGATCGAGTCCTTGGCAGCGCAGAAGGTCGGCAAGCAGAATCGCGAGAAGATGGAGGCCTGGGCAGCGGAGATGGAGGCATATCCCCTGCTGTACGTACGCACATGCAAGCTGGAGTCGTGCAGGAGCGAGGATCGGGTGAAGATCGTGTTCTCCCTGGACAATCCGACCCGCGAGTCTATCCTGACGCACGTTTTCCCCAGCCTAGGCGCGACAGTGACGACGGGAGCGGCACCCAGCTGCTATCTAGAGGAGGAGATCAGCGCATGGGTAGATATGCTGAAGAGTTGGGTGGGTCCCAACCGTGGGCCCCGTTGCCAAGTGCTTGCAGCCTCGAGTTCGGACGCTTCGCTATCGAGGATAACGAGGACGAGATAGTGGACGTCGAGGCTTCTCCTTTTGTGCTGGGTGAGCATGTGTGTGTGTGTGTGTTCTGTACTGGCGTTCGCACGCACTGTGCTTGCATCTTTTGAGCTGTAGATTGCGCGGTCGTGTGCGTCTGGTCATGAGTAGCGTTGCGGCGCGGACAGCGGACATAGCGCATGCGCGCGTAGTTTTGGTCCGCTCCCACCTCGTGTCGCCTCCTTCCTGCCTCGTCCGTCGCCTGTGGTCCCTCGCTCGCCCTTGGCCCCGCTTGCCTGGCTGCGGTCGGTCCCTGCGTCCGTTCGGCTGGCATGTGCTTGGGAACGTGCACGTAGTAGGGGTTTCACTATTTTGTATACGCACGAGTACGTCATAGCTGTACATACCCGTAAGCTATGTAGAGAAGTTGAGATGTTGGCACTCATATTGTCCCACAGGTGCGTACGACTACTCCTCCTCCACCTCCTCCTCCTCCTCCTCCACCTCCCCCTCCTACCTCCTCCTCCTCTTCTTCCTCCCTCCTCCTTCCCCATCTCCTCCCCCTCCTCCTCCTCTTCCACCTCCCCTCCTCTTCCCCCCCTCCTCCGCCCCCTCCTCCTCCTCCTCCTCCTCCTCCTCCTCCTCCTCCTCCTCCTCCTCCTCCTCCTCCTCCTCCTCCTACCTCTCCTGCATGTGGCGACGGTGGTGGCTCATAACATGGGTTTCCTATAGGCCCACCGGAGAATGCTACCATAATCTTTTGTGCGTTGCACGAGATGCTCTTGGAGCATGTTCTGGCTGCGACGGTCTTGATGTGTCACGTCGGGCTTATGTTATGAGAGTGCTTTTTTGTTCTTAGAACATTTGCTGGTTGTAAGGACGTGTCGTGGTAGGGTAGGCCTACAGGAATGCTGGGATGGTCGGTCCTTGCTCAAGGCATGGGAGCCCTGATCGGGGCTGCGATCGGTTCAAGATTGAACGATCGCCGCGGTGTCAATAACCTTTGCGCGCGCCGACGCCGCACACACCTACTGTGTTTGCTGGCGTGCAACAAGATCCATTCCTGTGTCTGGCCTCGCCGTGTCCCGGTGCCGATCTCAGGAAGCCCCTCAGCTTCTGAGGGCACATTCCTAATATTGGTACGGCCTTTGAGCTTGTCGACCTAGAGATAGGGATAAGCTCGAGGCTGGTTACGCATGTCTTTGCAACTCCCGTTTCAGATTGCACTCGCGCGGGCTAGCGTCTGGCAGTCGAGGACGTAACGGCGATTTAGCGTCGATTCGTGTCGCCTAGCGTCGATTGGCGCCGATTTGCGTCGATGAGTCTCGATTGGCTCACGGTATCAGCTGGGAGGCTCCCACGAGTTGCCGCAGAACCGTGCGCGGCCAGGCTTTTTCGAAGGCGGCGGGGTTCTCCCGAGCGTCGGGGGGGGAGGGGGGGAGCAGGAGAGGAAGGAGGACGAGGAAGAGTTTCGGAACCCGCCCGTCCGCTTGAATGTCTCGCCCGCCCGTCCCCGCGCCTGTTGACATCCGCCCGCCCGACCTTCCTGGCGAATGCCCGCCCGCCCGATTCGATTGTCAGACGCTGTCGATGTTTACCCATGGCCTGGCACGGAAGGAAAGAGCTCCTCAACGCGGGCACGTCCACTGGAGTCGAGGACTCTGGCTCTGCACGCTGAAAGGTATACGCCAGTGTGGGCACTGCGAGTCTTCTCCGGGGTCGTCCCGTTGGCGTTGCTCCTCCCGCACCCCGCGGCGCAGCGCCCTGAAGGGAGGATGAGGATGAACGGGGTAGGCGGAGGCAGAAGTCCTCCTCCTCCTCCCCCTCCTCCTCCTCCTCCTCCTCCTCCTCCTCCTCCCCCTCCTCCTCCTCCTCCTCCTCCTCCTCCTCCGCCTCCTCCTATGGGGAGGACGATGCTGGTGGTGATGAGTCGAGCAATGGCGAGGCGTCCCGGCTTTCCTGGAGGCCCACTCCAGATGGTGTTCCAATCTAACCTCTTGAGGCTTGCACGAGAGAGATAGGCTGGGACGGTCGGCCCCTGCTCGAATGACAGGAGGAGGGTAAGGAGGAGGAGGAGGAGGAGGAGGAGGAGGAGGAGGAGGAGACGGTGGAGGAGGAGGTGGAGGAGGCGGAGGAGGAGTGGAGGTGGAGGAGGTGGAGGACGTGGATGACAGGAGGAGGAGGAGGAGGAGAAAGGGAGGAGGAGGTTGAGGAGGTGGAGAAGGAGGAGGAGGAGGAGGAGGAGGAGGAGGAGGAGGTGGAGGTGGAGGTGGAGGTGGTGGTGGTGGAGGTGGAGGTGGTGGAGGAGGTGGATGACAGGAGAAGGAGGTGGAGGTGGAGGAGGCGGAGGAGGAGGAATGCCGGCGATGGTCAGAAGGAGGGCCAACGAAGGCGCCAGCGAAAACCGCCCTGCAGCTCGAGGCTCGAGGCGAGGTGGGGGAGGACGACTGTCGAAGAAGCGGACGGCGTCGCGCCTGCAGGGAGGGAAGGCAGAAGGGGCGGGCCTGCTCGGAAGGCTCAGGAGGCCTCCTGCCTTCTGAGCAGCTTCCTGAATCTTTCTAGGCCTCCTACATGGGGTCGGAGTAGATGGGGTCGGAGGATCGCACCGCATCGCCGATGCATCGCCGATGCGGCTCGATGTGGAGCCCGATTTGCTTTACGTCGACGTCGCCGGTGCATCGCCGACGTCGACGATGCATTCACGATGCGGCGCGATCCTCCGACCCCATCTGGGAGGCCTCTAGCCTTCTCTGCCTTCTGCGAGCAGGTCTGCCCTCTCTCATTTCATCGGTCGCAGATCATGGGGGCCTTGTGTACCCTCGCAGTTCCGCTCTTGAACGCACTCGAGTCGGTGGGCGTCTGGTCATCGATGAGATAGCGCCGATTGAGCGTCGATTCGCCTCGACTAGGGTCGACTGGCGTCGATTTAGCGTCGACTCGCGTCGATTGGCGCCGATATCGCAGGAACTTAGCTGCTTCGATACGAAATCTTTGGAAACGCAGCACACACAGTGCTCAAGACATCCGTGCCGATCTGTTGTGTGCTGCCTCAACGTATTGGCCAACGTTTTGGCGAGCCTATCGCGCCAGGCCTACGTGTTCAGTCCCCGGCGGAGCTGCGTACCAGTGCTCTACGTGCTGCGTGCTGCGCATCGGGGCCGCCAACAGCGCAGGAAGGCCCCAGGCGAGACGGGAGGCGCCGATCCCACGAGTCTCGCCATCGCTCGGGGGCGGGCGTTCTCTCTCCCTCGGCGAGGGCCGTCGAGGCGCCTCCCGGGTCGGCGAGCAGCCCCCCTCCCCCCAGCAACAAAAAATAGCACGCACGACAGCGAGCAGTGCCGCGGGGCAGGGACGCCCCAGCGATGGCAGGCGGGTCGCCCCCTCCTGCGAGGCGGGGGGGGCGATCCACCTCCGCCGCCTGGGAGCCGACGCCCTGGTGCCCTGGATCTCGGCCCCCGGGGGCCCGGAGATGTCCATCATCCACCGCCCGCCGAGGCTCCGAACACTGGCCCTCCAGGCGGCGGTCATGTACAGATTCCCGAGCCGCCCCCTCATCTTCTTCCTCCTCCTCCTCCTCCTCCTCCCCCTCCTCTCCTCCTCCTCCTCCTCCTCCTCCTCCCTCTTCCTCCTCCTCCTCCTCCTCCTCCTCCTCCTCCTCCTCCTCCTCCTCCTCCTCCTCCTCCTCCTCCCCCTCGGCGCCTCTCGGCGCGCCGCTGGGCAGAGCACGGGCCGAGGGGGCCACCCCGGGGGCGCGGCGCCGCTCGGGGCGCGGCGATGGCGTGGCTCGACGGGGGCGCGGCCGCGGAGGTCGAGGACCTCGCGCGCCTCCTCCTCCTCCTCCTCCTCCTCCTCCTCCTCCGCCGCCGCCGCCGCCGCCGCCGCCGCCGCCGCCGCCGCCGCCGCCGCCCTGGGCTGTTCCTGCCGTGCCCTCCAATCTGGGGCGCGAGGGGCGGGGGCCAGTGCAAATGGTCGGGGGCGGTCAAGAGGGGGGCGATGACCAGGGGTGGGGGGTGGGTGTCATGGCGGGGGCCATGACATCTCCCCAGATTTCATGGCGACGCTTCTTGTGTCACTACGTCCCCAGGTCCCCCCTGGGCCGCGCACATGCCGACGGGCATGATTTGAGCTCCCCCCCTCTTGGACGCCCCACTAATTATTGGACGCCCCCGAAATGGGGTTCTGAGAGCTGTCGAGCAATGCAAAAGCAAACACGCAGAACGCAGAACTACGCGGACAGCAGCAAGTCTCCTGTTCTGACCAGGATTCCAGGCGAATCCAGCCATGGCGACGACATTGGCAACTGTCTTCTTACTTCAGGAGGTCTTTGAACCTTCCCCCCAGTAGTGGGGAAATGATTATTCGTTCAGGGGCCTAATTGAGGGTCGCCGACACCCAACAAGAATCGGCAAATACAGATTCCGCCGCTGCCGCCGTCGCCGTCGTCGTCGTCGTTGTCGTCGACGTCCTCCTGCTCCCAATCCGACCCCGAATCCTAGGACAGGGCGAACTGAGGGACTCGGAGCGTTCATGGGCCGCCAAGGTCGTCGGGGAAGGGTGGGCCGGCTGGACCAGGGACCTCCGAAGGGTTGCCACCCCTGCTCTTCGGGTGGCCTTTTGAGCCGCTTGCAGTTGCACTTGAGGTAGTTATTGGCTGCAGTGCCGCTTCCGCAGCCTGCCGCCGCTCAGCGGCGGCAGGACGAGAGCTTCAGGCCTACAGTCGTGTCTTATCTTATCCCAAGCGAGTCAGCGGCGCGCTCGGGGCGAAGGTGAGAGGGGGCGGGCCTTCTCAGAAGGCTCGGAAGTCCCCGGGCCTTCTGGGAAGTTTTCTAAGCCTTCCCCGAAGATACTAAAGACCTCTCAGACGGCGCGAGGGCTTCTGAGAAGCCCCGCCGCCACCTGCGAGGGCCTTCTCCTTCTCACTTCCCCCCCTCGCCCGCCGTCGATGATCCCATCTCCTGAGAACTGTGGGCCCCTGCTCCCCTCGATGACTCTCAGGACGTGTGTTCGCCCACTGTGCGCCTGCACCGTTCGGCCTTGGCCGGCCATCGCTACACCACGTTCGTCTCGCTCAAGGGCTGCGGTGGGCCAGCACACGTTGGTTTAAGTCGGGCCTGTCCCTCTACAGGAGACATGTTCAAAAAAATAGTATGAGAATAGTCTGGGGACGATTTTTCAAATATTTGCTTGACCATCTCTGGCTATTTCTTAAGTATTTTGAATGTTTTGCCCACAATTCCCCTGTGGCGGGACAGGCCCGACCTAAACGTTGGCGCCAAAGCACGCCTGGAGGATCCTGATCCTCGGGTGTCGCGCGTTCGGTAATGGGGGGGCGGAACGGGGGGGCGTCCAGGGTTGCACGAAAGGGGCCCTGAAGGAGCCCTGAAGGAGCCTCCTGGGGCCCCGAAGGGGTACGAAAGGTGCACGAAAGGTGCACCTTTCTTACCCCCCCCCATCTATCGCCCCCCCATTTGCGAACGCCCGAAGGGGGCCGCAGGCTCCTCGCCCCGCGGCGCCGCGCCCCGCGGCGCGCGCGAGGGCTTCGCGCACCGCTGGGGCCTGCCCGCGCGGGAGACGTCCGAGCTGCTGGGCGGCCTGGCGCCGGAGGTGCGGGCCAGGATCCTCAGGCCGCCCGCGCGGCCCCCGCAGGGCTCGCCTCGGTGCCTCCGTTGCGGCTCGATCCGGCTTCGACGGCCCAAGACCCCCTCGAGCATAGAAAAATCATGACGGGAGGTTTTTCGCAATTTTTGGCCCATGGCCCATTTTTAAGTAGCCTACTTGGGCATGAAGCATCGCGCGGGCTCGCATGTTTTCGCAATCGGATAGTTGCGCTTCTACCAACGCTACGCCACTCATTCTTGGTCGAAATCGTTTATTTGTTGATTGGCGTTTTGTCGCCGAAAACTTCGCCAGTAGAATGTCATTACTGACATGGGGGCCCTTGCCGGGCCTCAGGACCGGCAAAGAACGGCTCGGGAAGAAAAGCTGGTCCCAGGGAACAGGTCGAGACCTCTGGGGGTCGACGTCATGAAAAAGTCATGACGTCGGGGGTCGGGGTCCGATGCGATTCGATCCGGCTTCGACGGCCCCAGGATTCTGAGTCGATTCCGCTCGGGGTGCCGACGTGGGCTCCGAGTTCTCGCGGAGGGCCCTGGTGCTCCGCCGAGCTCCGCCGATGCGGCGCCTCCCGGCTCGGCTGCCTCTTGTCGCTCCGCCAATGCCGATGCATTTTTCGATCACTCCGCGTTGTCGATCCGATTCCGAGCTTGCCCGCTCGAGGCGGGAAGGGGGAGGCGTCAGGGTCAGGATGAGGTGGAGCATGCACAGCACCTCGCGTTGAGTCGGGCCTGTCCCCTCTACAGGGGGAAAATTCAGAAATAGTCAAAAAATCGGGGCGCTCATTTTCTTTATATTTATGTATATATAGATGTATATATATACATATATATATATATATGTATGTCTGTATCTTTTGGGGTTTTGTTTTGCGTATTGTAGCGGCCTCCGGCCAGTGCCGCCGATCCGGGGTGCTACCGATTCTGCTTGCAACGGATGACCTTGTATGTTTAAAAGTAGAGCACTCGCTCGAGACATCCTCATAATATCGGAGGTGAGGGGGTGAGATCGAAGTGGAACGGAGAGCACCCCTACTGGGAAATCGGTTTCGGTTTCGTGTTCGTGCGTGCCGTGCGTGCGGGCGAGGCGAAGCTGCGTGGGCGGGCGAGAAGAAAGTCTCCTCCCGCTGAGGCGCGGCCGGACCAAATGATTCTTTTCTGGGGGCCGGTGGCCCGCGGTGTCCCGCCGGTGTCCTGCCTCCGGCTGAGGCGCGGCCGGACCGAATGATTCCTTTCCGGGGGCCGGTGGCCCGCGGTGTCCCGCCAGTGTCCCGCCGGTGTCCCGTCGGTGTCCCGATGATGATGATGATGATGATGATGATGATGATGATGATGATGATGATGATGATGATGATGATGATGATGATGATGATGATGATGATGATGATGATGATGATGATCGATGATGTTGATGATGATGATGATGGTGATGGTGATGATGATGGTGTCCCGATGATGATATTGACGATATTGTTGATGATGATGATGGTGATGGTGGTGATGATGATGGTGTCCCGATGATGATGTTCATGATGATGATGTTGCTTCTTGATGGTGATGATGATGATGATGATGATGATGGTGTCCCGATTATGATGATGTTGATGATCATGGCGATGTTGATGATGATGATATGATGATGGGATGATGATGCTGATAAGGATGATGATGGTGCCCGATGATGATAATGAGGTTGATGATGGTTATGTTGATGATGATGGTGATGATGATGGTGTCCCGATGATGATGTTTTCGATGATGACGATGATTGTGTCCCGATGATGATGATGTTGATGATGAGGATGATGCTGGGGTGTTGATCAAGGTTTTGATGATGGTGGCCCGATTATGGTGATGATGATGCTGCTGATGTTGATGATGATGGTGTCCCGATGATAATGATGGTCATGATGATGATAGTGACAATGATGATGGTGTCCCGATGATGATGATGTTGATGATGGTGATGTTGCTGGTGATGGTGATGGTGTCCCGATGATGATGATGATGATGATGATGATGATGATGATGCTGATGATGATGATGATGATGTTGATGCTATTGTTCATGATGATGAGAGGCTGATGATGGTGGTGTTTCGATGATGATGGTGATGATGATGATGGTGTCCCGATGATGATGAGGATGATGTTGATGATGGTGATGTTGACGATGATGGTGGCCCGATGATGGTGATGGTGGCGGTGATGATGTTGATGATGATGGTGATGAGGTGATGCTGATGATGGTGTCCCGTTGATAATGATGATTATGATGATGTTGATGACGGTGATGTTGTTGATGATGATGCTGATGATGATGACGCTGCTTGTGAGATCGATTGTGATATCGATAGTGAGATCGATAGTGAGACCGAATGTGAGATCGATTGTGAGATCGATAGTGAGATCGATTGTGAGATCGATAGCCAGATCGATTGTGAGATCGATCGAATGAAATAGATCGAGTGAGATCGATTGCGAGAACGATCGAGCGAGACCAATCGAGCGAGACCGATCGTGAGATCGATAGTGAGATCGATAGTGAGACCGATCGAGTGAGACGTTGGTTCTCCCCCCGAAACTCCTTATCACCCGAAGGGTGGTCGTATAGGTAGAGATGGTGAACTCGCTTGGGCAACCTTCGGATATTCGAAAGCCAAACTCATGGGATGTCCCCTCCCACCTTCCAGGCTTGAATGGCTTCAGCCATGGCGTCAGCTCCCGCCCCATCCCGACTCCCCCGTCCCGTGCGTGAATGGCGTCAGCCATGGCGTCACCCCCCCCCTCCCCCCTCCCCCCCCTGGGCTTGAATGGCGTCAGCTATGGCGTCAGCCGCCTCCCCCCCGACAGAGCGAAGCTTGAGCGAGCTCCCCCCGCCTCCCCCTTCCCGGGTTTGAATGGCGTCAGCCATGGCGTCAGCTTCCCCCCCCTGACACTTTCCTTCAGGCCTGAATCCCCCCCCCTCCCCCTTCCTGGGCTTGAATGGCGTCAGCTATGGCGTCAGCCGCCTCCCCCCCGACAGAGCGAAGCTTGAGCGAGCTCCCCCCCTCCCCTCTCCCGGGCCTGAATTGCGTCAGCCATGGCGTTAGCTGCCCCCCCCCCCCACTCCCTCTTTCCGGGCATGAATCTCCCCCCCCCTCTCCCCCAGCCTGAATGGCGTCAGCTGTAGCGTCAGCCCCCTCCCCCCCCAACAGAGCGAAGCTTGAGCGAGCTCCATCCCCCCTTCCGCCCTCCCGGGCAGGAATGGCGTCAGCCATGTCTTCGGTCCCCCCCCGGACATCCTCCTCCTGGGCCTGAATGGCGTGGCGTCAGCCATGGCGTTCCCTCCCCTCCTCCCGTCCTCCTCTCGATGGCGTTCCCCCCCCCCCTTCCGCCCTCCTGGGCCGTGGGCCGGAATGGCGTCAGCCATGGCGTGAGCCCCCCCCCCCCCCCCTATTTCCTCACCCCGATTTGCTCCTCCGGGGCCCGAATGGCGTCAGCCATGGCGTTCCCCCCTCTTTCCCCCCCTCCCGTCTCCCGGGCCTGAATGGCGTCAGCCATGGCGTCAGCTCCCTCCCCCCCCCAGATCCCCTTCCACTCCCAGGCTTGAATGGCGTCAGCCATGGCGTCAGCTCCCCCCCCTCCCCCCGACTTCCTCCTCCCTGGCCTGAATATGGCGTCAGCCATGGCGTCCCCCCCCCCCTCCCCATGGCGTTCCCCGCCCCCCCCCCCCCACTCCCCCCTCTCGGGCTTGAATGGCGTCACCTCCCCCCTTCCCCCCCTCCTCCCTCCAGGCCCGAATGGCGTCAGTCCCCCCCCCCCCCTCCTCCTCAGCCCCCCCCCCGTCCTCCCGTTCGGGCCTGAATGGCATCAACCTCCTCCCCCCTCTCCCTCCCGGGCCTGCATGGCGTTCAGCCCCCACCCCCTCAGCCCCCCCCCCCTCCCTCCTCGGGCCTGAATGGCCCCCCCCCCTCCCCCTCCCCTCCTGAGGGCCCGTCAGCCCCCTCCCCCCCCGACAGATCGAAGCCCCCTCCCCCCCACCTCTCCTCCTCCCTCTGGGGCCTGAATGGCGTCAGCTCCCCCCCCCTCTCCTCCCTCCTGGGCTTGAATGGCGTCAGCCCCCTCCTGAAGGGCGTCAGCCCCCCCCCCCCCCCCCCCGACACAACGAAGCCCCCCCCTCTCCTCCCTCCCGGGCCTGAATGGCGTCAGCCCCTCCTGAAGGGCGTCAGCCCCCCCCCCCCCCCGACACAACGAAGCTTGAGCGAGCTCGAGCCCACGCTCGCAGAAACTCACACGCCGGATCGGCGGATTTCGTTTAAAATTCCCCTGCAGGAGGACATGCCCGACTTGATGCTATCAGGCCTCTGTGTCGAAGAAGATGGAACGCCAGAAACATAAACGTTTGGCGCTCCGCGCGGATTTCTTGGATCCGCGCTGGGCCCCTCCCCTCAGCGGCGCCTCCGGCGCCGCCCCTGGCGCGCTCCGCGCGCCAGGGGTCCGGCGCAGATCCAAGAAATCGCGCGGAGCGCCAAAAGTTCATGTTTGTGTCATTTTTTCTCCCTAGAGGAGGAGCAGGATAGAGGCGAGTCTGGGTCCGGCGTCGCCCGCCAGGGAGGGGGGTCCAGCGCAGATCCAGGGAGTCCATGCGGAGCGCCAAGCGTTTTTGTATCCAGAACCCCTTCTGCTGCCTCTCCCGTGGGCCACCCCTGGCTCCCCGCCTTGGGCCTCGGTCGAGGCCTCTCTCCTGCGCCCTTCCTTCCTGCGCCCTCTTTCAGAGCCCCGAATCTTCAGGGGTAACTCGGGTCAGGGTTAACTCGGGTTCGTTTTTCGGGAATCCGTACCCGAGTTACCCCGGACCCGAGTTACCCCGGATAATTCTGGCATCCAGAGCCCCACATCATCAGGGGTAACTCGGGTCAGGGCTAACTCGGGTTCCTTTTTCGGGAATCCAAGCCCGAGTTACCCCGGACCCGAGTTACCCCGCATAACTCGGGCGCTCAATTCCTCCAGTCCCGGGCCCCTTCCGCGGGCGGTGCCCCGGGGCCGCGTCAAGGTCGCTGCGCTCGGCAGCTCTGGCCCACTGCGCGCGCGCTGCCTCGCCCCGCGGCACGGGGCGGGCCGCGCTCCTGCCGGCGCGGATGTGTGCGGGCCAGGTCGGCCCGACGGCTTGGCCGAAGGAGCAGCGCGAGCCTGGCATCGCTCGGACGCGTGCCTGTGATTCATCGGCGCGGACCGTCGAGCAGCATCTTGGATCATCCTCCCTAGGAGTTGGAGCCCCTAGGAAAGCAGCATTAGTAGTAACAGTAAAGCTAAGCTAAAGCTAAGCTAAAGCTAAGCTAAAGCTAAGCTAAAGCTAAGCTAAAACTGCTAAAGCTAAAGCTCCCAGGGGACTGGGGGAACCGCTCCCAGGGGACTGGGGGAACCGCCCGGGGCGGGTTACACTGCCCGGCCCCTTTAAGCGAACAGAGTAAGAACCTTTTTAGGCAGAGCCTAGGTAGGGAAAAAGCATGCACGACAGACATCGGAAGCTGCACTGGGAGTGGACGTCCGAGCGGTGGCGAGTGAGCAGGCACAGGCATTGGCCTCATTGTGGTCGCTTTCTTTCGTTGTGTTGCCGAGCGGTGCGGGCTCTCGCACCCCCTCCCCCCCCCATGGAGCAGATCTTGGCTGTCGTTGGCGCTTGTTTCGAGCGGGTGGAGTCTCCCCCGCAGGACGCATTGTTGCAACCAGTCGCATTGAGCAGAGGTCCAGAGTCAGACCCCCCTCCCTCCCCCTTCCGCCCAACGTCGAAACGCCGAAAAAGACAACGTTCACATTTCGGTAGGAAGTCATGTGAGCCTTGTGTAACCCAGTAGTTCCGTCTTTGGAGTGCATTCGCGTCGGCCAGCGTCTAGTGGTCGATGAAAGCGTCGGTTAGCGCAGATTTCGCGTCGGCTGGCATCGACCAGCGCCGATCACTGCGCCGATCCGCAAGAGCCAACAGGATGGCACGGGAGTCTCGTGTGAGTTGACACAGCATGGAGGGGTCAGGATCAGGACGAGGTCGAGCAGGAACAGGGATCGGGCACGGCTGCACGACGGCGTCAGTGAACGTGAGCTGCCCTGTGGCTTGCTGGCGTGCTGGCCGCTCGGCCGCACTCGAAGCCTCGGGTGCAATGCACCGGTCAGGGCGATCCAGGCCGGACCTCCCCGGTGGCACTGGTGGGGCTGAGGAGCAAGACGCTCCTGCGTGAGCTCCGCTTGCAGGGCAACCGCGGAGACAGATCCACGAGTCCCACAGGTCCGGAGCACGAATGCGTGAGATGCTTCCAGGTTGCGCCGGATTCGTGAGCCCAGCCCCCAGCCAGATGCAGCTCTCGCCCGCCCCCGAGAGGAGATTCTGCCATCGACGTGCTCTGACGGGAGACAGCACGCCATTCGTGAAGGGTGGTTTTGAATCGGCGTCGAGCGAGGGGGGGAGGTGAAGGAGAAGGCCTTCTCAGAAAGTGGCGGGGCTTCGCCGGAGGCCGGGGGACTTCCGAGCCTGCTGGGAAGGCCTGACCCTCTCACTTCCCTCCAAGCTCGCCGCCGACTGATCGCAGTGCTATGACAACCGGTGCCTCTAAGTCCACACTCGCTAGGCTGTGCGCTCAGCTATACAGAGTTAAACTCAGCAGCGGCCGGAGGGGGGAGGAGTCGGACGGGGCTAGGACGAGGACGATTCCGTTCCAGAGCGTCCCGGAACGCTCCCAGAGCGTTCTGGAACGCTCTGAGAAGACCGCGGCGACCGAGGCATCTTCCCAAACCGCCAGATCTCAGAGAATTCCGATTTATCCTCGTCCAAGTTTATCCTCGCCTTGTTTTTGTTCCTCAAGGAGGCGGAGGCAGGGGCCCAGGGAGCACCAGCTACGGCATCGGGCGCGGAGACCTTCGCCTTTTCGCGCTCTGCTGCAGCGGGCTCGAAGGTGGCCCCCAAAGACGCCCACGCGGCTCAGGGAGGAGGAGGCGGAGCAGGGAGGAGGAGGAGGAGGAGAAGGAGGAGGACGGGGATGATATCGCTGCCCTGCCGGGCGGCCCTCGTCGCCAAAGCTGGAGTCTTCTCGCAAATTCTGCTCAGAGCGCACCCCTGGAGAGGTCAGGGGGGTAGCCGTATAGGCAGTATTTGTATCATTTCGTCTCCAGGTTTTCTGATAAGTTTCGACCTGAGTATGTGTCATACGTGCATGCACTAGTCTAGCAATACTCTTGAGGGGTGTGTTCTTGATTTCCATCGATGCGTGTTTTTCGTTACTGCATGAGTCACGCCGTTCCCGCAAGCGGGACGAGACGTCTTAGGGCGCCCGATCGGACGCTCTGCGTTCTGCGTCCACAGGAGCGGCATCGGCATATTCCAAGCTTTGGGCCCCTAAGAGCGCAGGGCGCTTCCAGGGCACCGTGACAGGCCACGCGATCAGCCCCGAGAGCGCCAGTGAGCTCCCAGGAATGCCGCCCGAAGCTCATGAAGAGCATTTGCAGTTCTCAGCGCGGAGAACTCGAAGGGCCGTGAGGAGACTCTACTTCACGGCTCATCACTCAGAAGCCAGGCCAAGGCTGGCAAACCCGCGGCTGCTAAAACGGAGCTCCAGGAAATTGTTTTTCTTCAGGGAAGCAGTCCGTGTACTATTTAGCGCGCTGAGTTTTATTCGGGGAAATTGTGCTTTCTTGTGGGAAGATCGTTTTAGCAGCCACGGAATCGCTCGCTCTCGCCCTCCACATCATGTGTTGAGCGAAGCCCCATCTGACGCACAGCTTCACTCTTGAATGGTCGTTGGTTGAGCACAGACTGATCTAGGAACAGATAGGCATCAATGAAGACCTGCATGCTCGTTTTGGCGTGCTCGCGTGTCTTTGAGTCGCTTGAGGGGCACAGATGGCTAGATCTCCTCACCGGCGACGTCGGTTTGCGTCAAAGTGCTTCGGAGATCACATCATGAGTTTTGTTGATGTGAATGGCTCGGTTCGGCCTTGTGGTCTAGTTGACCTGGTCACATGAGCAGGCTTTGGTGGACGTGCAACCAATGTATGTGATGATATCCGTTGCCATGCAGTGGGTTGCGAATGACTGCGCAGTCGGCGGGACATTGATTGGACCACCCCGCCAGGGACTTCAACGGGGGTGGCACCAAGGACGGCAATGTCTTCGGCCGCTTGCAGGAGCGACTCGTTGCGTCCCGAGTTGTGCTCTCATGTGCTGTCCGTGGAAACGTGCGCGGGTGGCCCGCAGGGTAATACGTAGCACCCCGCAGATGCGGATAGGAGTGAGGGGGCGTGCGCGGGTTGGGTCGTCGGTGTGTCGCGGGTGGGTCGCGGGGTGGGTCGCGGGTGGGTCGCGGTCGGGTCGCGGGGTGGGTCGCGGGTGGGTCGCGGGCTGGTCGCGGGGTGGGTCGCGGGTGGGTCGCGAAGTGGGTCGCGGGTGGGTCGCGGGGTGAGTCGCGGGTGGGTCGCGGGCGGGTCGCGGGTGGTTTGCGGGCGGGTTTGTCGTCGTAGTTGGGCCTCCACCAATTTGACTGAATCACGAGAAAGTCTCGAGCGAGAGCGCCGCTCCTGATCTCGAGGGCCTTCCTGGCCAGGGGCTCTCGGAGTAAATCAGAGGAAGTATCATGCAGGAGCCCTTGTCGTCGTGGCTGGGCCTCCGCCAACTTGACTGGATTGCGAGGAAGTCTCGAGCGAGAGCGCCGTCCCTGAGTTCGGAGGCCTCTTTGGCCAGGGTGTCTCGGGGTAAACTGTGAGGAAGTATCGAGCGGGAGCTGTTGTCGTTGTAGACGGGCCTCCACGGGCCCACATTTACATTCAAGTCAACGCTCGCGCCAGAGCCTCGTCTTCAGAGAAAATGTCGCCAGCGTCGAGGCGAGAGCGCGCAGAACCGCTTCCGGATATCAGCAATAATTATTCTAGAAATGAGTATTCAGCAACAGCACCACCAACAACACCATCACCAACCACAACACCAACCGCAACAACCACAGCAACAACAACAACCATCACAATACCAACCAACAACAGCACCAAGTATAACGACAACGCCAACAACAAAACCAGCAGCAACAACAACAGTAACAGCAGCAACAACCAACAACCAGCATAATCAGCGCCGCCGAGCCCCACTTCAGCCACGCGCCTAGGGACAATGAATGACGTTCGGCCCCCTCGCTCTGATGTGCCAGAATTGTCGGATGCGCCATGATTGTTGCATTGTTTCGGCATGCGCGCGCGTATATAGCCCGCACTTTTTCGCTTGACAGGATGGCTCACCAAACAAATGGTGGCGGCATGTGTTCATCGAGTGCGAGCGCAGAAATATTTGAGAATCTCAGTGGACTACAAATCGTCTTTGACATGGTCCGTTTGAAATAGAATTGAACCACACGGTGTCGGACGGACCTTGACATGTGCGCATGCAGCCTGTATTGTATGACTTGGTCGGTGAGCTGTCAGCTCCCGTCCCGCTACAGCGGAGGCCCATGTCAAGAAACACCCTGCTTGCCTCCAGGGTGCCCTGGGTTTCTTGGACTTCGATGGTTTTGCTAGGGAAGGCGTGACGACCCCAACCAACAAATCCATGGACGTCCTGGGGTCTCAGGGTCGGGTCTCTTGTGGAAGGTTTCTTGTGGATTGGCCTACACTGTGCCGTGATCTCATACGTCGCTCTTGGCTCAGTTGATCGCTACGCTCCCCCGCTTCCCCCCCTCCCATTCGTCTTCCTCCCCTCCCTCCCCCCCTCCGCCGCCCAGGCCTTCGCTGCCTCCCTGCAGCACAAGTGGGGCGACGCACCGTCGGAGGCAGGATCGGGAGGTGGAGGGAGGGAGGGAGGTATACGGGCGACCGGAGGGGATATTGGCATCCAATCTCGTACCCTTCCTCCATTCTCTCCCTTTCTCCCCCCTCCTCATCCTCCTCGTCCCAGTCGTAATCGTCCTTATCCTCCTCTTTCCCTTTCTCCTCCTCCTCCTCCTCATCTCCCATCTTCCTCATCCTTGTTCTCCCCCCTGCGTCTTTCGGAATGCTTGGTCGCATGGGTTTCGGATTCCCCGACCACTGGAAATTTGGAAACTTTCAGGAGTGGCAAGAATGTTTGAACGGTGTGGTAATTATCAATTTTTGGTTTCGAGCGTTTCACATAAACTGGTTGGTCTGGAGTTTTCAGGATTCTTGGTCGCCTGGGCTTCGGATGTGCCATCCAATTGGAATGTTAAATGTTTGTATATGGCGATGTTTTCCAACGCGTTGGAACTGCTTGCAATTGCTAAAAGTCTTGCCAATTAGAAAACTTGCGGTTTGGGAGATGTAGAGATGTTTGGTCGCTTAGGTTTCTGATTCCTTGACCCATGGAATTTGTGAAATGCTGACAGTCTCCGAGCTTTTTCCCAACCCTCCTATGGTTGGGTACTCGTTTTCAATAGAGCAGTGTGGTCGCCCCGTCCTCCTCCTCCTCCTCCCCCCTCCTCCCCTCCTCCTTTCTCCTGTTTCCGTCGTGCCGTCGGGCTGCGATCTGCGCAATTGTCGCCACTTTCGTGGGCTCCTGGGAGGCCCAGCGGAGGTAGGTCCCACGCGGATCACCACGGGACCTCGCCGCCCCCTGGGGGGCTTGCGATCTGCGCAATTGTCGCCACTTTCGTGGGCTCCTGGGAGGCCCAGCGGAGGTGGGTCCCACGCGGATCACCACGGGATCTCGCCACCCCCTGGGGGGCTTGCGATCTGCGCAATTGTCGCCACTTTCGTGGGCTCCTGGGAGGCCCAGCGGAGGTAGGTCCCACGCGGATCACCTCGGTACCTCGCCGCCCCCTGGGGGGCTTGCGATCTGCGCAATTGTCGCCACTTTCGTGGGCTCCTGGGAGGCCCAGCCCACGCGGATCACCTCGGTACCTCGCCACCCCTGGGGGGCTTGCGATCTGCGCAACTGTCGCCACTTATCGTGGGCTCCTGGGAGGCCCAGCGGAGGTGGGTCCCACGCGGATCACCTCGGTACCTCGCCACCCCCTGGGGGGCTTGCGATCTGCGCAACTGTCGCCACTTATCGTGGGCTCCTGGGAGGCCCAGCGGAGGTGGGTCCCACGCGGATCACCTCGGTACCTCGCCGCCCCCTGGGGGGCTTGCGATCTGCGCAACTGTCGCCACTTATCGTGGGCTCCTGGGAGGCCCAGCGGAGGTGGGTCCCACGCGGATCACCACGGGATCTCGCCACCCCCTGGGGGACTTGCGATCTGCGCAATTGTCGCCACTTTCGTGGGCTCCTGGCAGGCCCAGCAGAGGTGGGTCCCACGCGGATCACCTCGGTACCTCGCCGTGGCTGCGATCTGCGCAATTGTCGCTGGGCTCCTGGGAGGCCCAGCGGAGGTACGTCATACGCGGATCACCACGGGACCTCGCCGCCCATGGGGGGCTTGCGATCTGCGCAATTGTCGCCACTTTCGTGGGCTCCTGGGAGGCCCAGCGGAGGTACGTCGTACGCGGATCACCACGGGACCTCGCCGCCCGGGGGGGGGTGCGATTTGCGCAATTGTCGCCACTTTCGTGGGCTCCTGGGAGGCCCAGCGGAGGTGGGTCCCACGCGGATCACCTCGGGACCTCGCCGCCCGGGGGGGGGCTTGCGATCTGCGCAATTGTCGCCACTTTCGTGGCTGGGAGGCCCAGCGGAGGTACGTCATACGCGGATCACGGGACCTCGCCGCCCCCTGGGGGGCTTGCGATCTGCGCAATTGTCGCCACTTTCGTGGGCTCCTGGGAGGCCCAGCGGAGGTACGTCATACGCGGATCACCACGGGACCTCGCCGCCCATGAG